GTTACTAATCATCAGAAAAAATGCAAATTAAAACCACCGTAATATATCACCTCATACCTGTTAGAATAGCCTTTATCAAAAAGACAATGTAACAAATGTTGGCAAGGATGTGGAGAAAAGGGAACCCTCATACACCGTTGGTGGGAATGTAAATTGGTACCACCTATGGAAAACAGCATGATGGTGACTCCAAGACTGAAAATTGAACTACCAGATAATTCACCAATCCTACCCCTGGGTATGTAGCCAAAGGACCTGAAATCAGTATCCTGAAGAGATATCTGCACACCCACATTTTTTGCATCTTTATTCACAACATCCAAGATATGGAAACAACCTTAGTGTCATTTGACTGATGAATGAATGAGGAAATGATCCATATATCACATATAGATGGGTATGAATATTATTCAGCCATTAAAATATGGATACGTATGTTTGTTAATAACTAACTATTCGGCCACATAGTCAAATCTGCACTATTTCTGCAAAGGCCAACAGCCACGTGCACAAAAGAAAAATCGATAATATTCAAGCCACGGAGTCTCATTAACGAATGAAATTTGGCCAAAAGAATGTTTGGAAAGCTCGTCTCTCTTGCCCTACATTCTCTCTTCCACCTTCCAGTCCATCCCACGGACTCTTTCAAGTCTTGCTACTTCCCTTTTCCGAAGTCACCGGAGGGTTTGCATGATTTGGCCCCCACTAACCTTTGCAGCCCCGTCTCCCATTTCTCTCTAACCTATGCCAAGACAGTGGCTCTCCACTGGTCCCCAGATGGAGCCCTTGCTAACCAAACTCCAATCCTTGGTTCATGCCAGGAGATCCTTTGCTCTCTCTTCCCTTCTTATCCATTCCTCAAGGCCGATTTGAACAGCACCACACTCTGCAGCCTCCCATCACTCCCAGACAAACGTGATCTCATCTTCTTATTCACAGCATCACAGTTACCTGCTTGCGCCTTACTTTGCTACTTGCAGTCTTCATTGTGCTGCATTTACTTGTGTAGTCGTCTGATCAGGCCATGAAATCACACATTTATGTCAGTAGACTGTAGACCTCATAAGGTTAAAGACTCTGTTATTCTCAGCTTCAGCTCTAATCTCTAATATTTAGAGCAGTACCTGGCAGAGTAGCTACTAAAATATATAGCCATTAAATAAATGAATGAAGGGATGGCACCGATGGCATATTACCCATCTCTCTACCTCCTGGAGTACTTAGCTGTGTTCAGCACAGAGTGGGTGCAAAGTGAATAATTGTTGAGTTTAATGGCAAGTCATGGAATTAAGTGGCTAATAATCATGTGAATGAGGAAGACAATTAAAATCTGAACTGCATAGCATGTACAGCGAGAAAAAAACGGCCCTCTTTGTAAACTCCAATCATAGTGCAATTACAAGGTTAGCCGAGACGCTGTTGATGTTTCTACCCCTGGATTTGAGGGCAGGGGGTGAAGAAAAAGGAAAATGAAAGCCAAGTGTCTGCAAAATTGTTTTCCTTTTATCTTGCATCCTGGAACCTCTGGCAAGAGCAAGACTCGTTTGCCCGGATCCCTTGTTCTGCTTGGTGTTTGCTAAACACCTTTTGATTTCCTCTGCAATGTACCCG